TCAAAAAAAAAAAAAAAATTGCCTAGTTATCTATACTTATTAGCAAAGACAGTTAAAAATGTGCAATTGAAAATGGTAGCCCTTTTGGAGGAGGCGTATGAGAAGCTACTGATTTCAGTGTTTATAAGTAAAAAACTATAACTCGACTGTTCTTGCTGTTTTCCTCCCTCCCTCCCTCTTCTTCCAAGAGGCTGCACATTGGCTGAAGATAGTTGCTGATGCTACTTTTCTGGTTTACTGGCATCCTTACATGGTGATTTTCAGTTACATGAAAACTTTAGCTCACAGTTCTGTATAAATGCATGGTCAAGAGGGAAATGGACACATGGGAAGGAGGAAAACCCAAGGGATGTCCTGGTCTTAGAATAGCACCCTGACTAGGGAGCTGGTTCATTCCATCAAGAACTAACCCATCTTGCCAGAGCGAGAACTCAGAAGCTGAAGAAGGGCAACAAGCCATTCATGAGAGACCCACCTGCATGACTCAGACACCAGGCCCTCCCACCTAACACCACCACACTGGGGGTGCATTTCAACATGGGCCATAGCCAACCCATAGCACCCTAAAAAGAAAGTAAGGTGCCATTTCTGTTCTTTTTTCATTTTTTTCTGAGATAGAATGTTGCTCTGTTGCCCAGGCTAGGGTATCGTGGCATCACAGCTCACAACAACCTCCTGGGCTCAGACGATCCTCCTGCCTCAGCCTCCCAAGTAGCTGGGACTATAGGCACCCGCCTCAACACCCAACTAATTTTTCTATTTTTAATAGAGACAGGGTATTACTCTTGCTTAGGCTGGTCTTGAACTCCTAAGCTCAGGCAGTCCTCCCACCTTGGCTTCTCAAGAGTGCTGGTATTGAGGCGGCACCTATGGCTCAAAGGAGTAGGGCGCCGGCCCCATATACTGGAGGTGGCAATTCAAACCTGGCCCCAACTAAAAACTGCAAAAAAAAAAAAAAAAGAGTGCTGGGATTGCAGGTGTGAGCCACCACACCTAGCCAGTCATTTCTGTTCTTGGTGCTGAGCCTATTCTAGCAAGCACAGCAGGTTCCTTTTTCCCTGGCATATATGAAATTGCAATTTTTTAAGTTTTTTTTAAATCCATAATAGATGCTTAAGTTCTAAGAGATTAAGAGCACTTAAATGTGTTTTCAAGATCATGTTTCTTTTTAAGAAATAAAATTTACCTACTTTTACCTTCAGATTTTATTTATTTTATTTTGTCAGGTATTATAAATAGATTGTTCGAGCCAGGGTCATTTGGTGCCTGCGTTTACTTAACATACTCTGTGTATTGTACTTTCTGCACACTCCATGGGTACACGTGGGGCCGTAACATTGTGTGAAAACTAATGTGCTCACTAAATCTGAGAGTGCCAGACTTACGGGATCTTAGCGTTGAAGAAGGTAATCTTAGATGGATGCAGCAAAGAGTAAGCATGTGAAACTTAACCTGAGCTTTATAAGCCAACAATACTGACACACTCAGGGTAGTTAGATGAGTCGGAGCGTGATATATTTAAGTGATTACAAGAAGAACTTGCTCTGGTGAGAGCTTGTTCTCCAAAGTACAGGGCACGCACTGTGCTTTCCCTCAGAACAGCCTCTATGCACCTCTCAGAAACGGGATGGGAGAGTGATAGTTCTTCTTATAGTCCTGGCCAGTGTTGTGCGATACCCGTGTTCAAGTGTAAGCTTTCATGTTTGCATGCACATGTTTTGACAGGTGACCTTGGGAAAGGTTTTGAAAGTGATTGTCGTCATGCGGAGCCTGTTCATTGATCGAACAATAGTAAAAGGGTATAATGAAAACGTCTACACAGAGGATGGCAAGGTAAGCACTCTGGGGTCTTGTTTTTTCCTTTATTTTCTATATCCTAGAACAAATGTAGGAGAGTCCCTGATGAATGACATTAAAAACTAGCAATCATAGCTGAAATGATCAACAAACATAGATTTGTCAGTGTGAAGATGAACACTTTACAAAAAAGCATTTTTGTAAATTCATTCTCTCTGCTTGCATTTTTCATCAAGCTTCTGCTTTTCCCTCTAAGCCTGATGCCCTTAGTTGAATTTCTAATTTATCACCTTAGACCCCAGTTGCCTCATTAAACGTGTCTTCTGAGGAAATGGATTTTTTTTCCAAGTCAAGCAGCTCATCAATAGCCCAGGGTTCAGCGCTTTGCTTTTCCTGGAACCATGAGGAAAATTCGAGTTAGTTTGACACAGCCTGATGACACTCTTCTTCCAGGAAACTAACACATAGCCCTCAGGAAGCTGCTGGTGCACAGCAGCCCAAGTGAACACTGCTGCTGGGAGAAGACGCGCTCCTCCATGGCTGGTCCGTTTCCTGGAAAGTTCACCCAGGTGAACCCTTATTCCTTTTGACTGTACATTCTCCATGTGGCTCTACAGCGTGTCAGAGGATGCTCATCAGAGTTGACAGCCTTCATTTGTGTTTGCAGCCAGAGTGTTAATGAGCACCGCCACACAGCGCCTACCCAGACTGTCCTGGGCCACAGCTCCCCTCCCTGCATCAGGAGCTTTCCCCTCCCCTCATGAATCTCTTTAAAATCAAAAGTTTGTTAGTACTAGAACTCATCACAGAATGTTCTTCAAAAAAAGGTGACAAATGTGGCTTAGCACATAACAGTGTGTTGTATAAGAAGTGGGGCCCATGATGTAATGAGACTGGTGTTTGAACAAGTAACCCGGTATTTCCACATTCCACACAAGCCTTCTCTATGTGGGAAGCTGCTTTTCCTCTCCTAAGTCTCCCCGTTGAGAGCAAATCATTCACTGAGGGGAGGTTTCCTTTTTCTTCTTGAGAAAACCAAATGTCTTTGGAGCAAGCGTATAAAGTGGATAATGTGTGGGCACAGCAGCTCCGGAAGGGGGTTCCACCCTGTGGATCAGCGGCAGGAGCAGTGCTGGGCAGTGTGCACCCACAGAGGCATTTACAGTGCCCTTTGCAGATGCCGTGCTTCTTGGGAGTTTTCCAAATAGACAGCTTTATAGTCATACCTGCCCACCAAAGACTCACAAGTGAACTGGGGAGATAGAGAACTTAGAAAGCCAAGTAGTAATCAGAACCATGCTGCTGGAATGCCAGACTCAGGGTGCAAATGAAACCCAAGAGATTATAAGAAGAAGTGAAGATTTTACCTACTTTGTCTCATGCCGTTAGCATTCTGCTTATTTAATTGCCCTCTACTGAAATGAATACTCATAAATGGTGACTGGAATCATTTCTGTTCTGCGCTTACAACAAGGGACTTGGAGAACAGTCTCATGTGAGTGGCAGTTCTAAAACTTGTCTCTGTCTGGTGACTCCTCCTTTCTCCTCCCCATGGCTCTCCAGCTGCTCAGAGTTCCCTTCTCCCTCTGCCCAGTCCCCTTGGCCACTGTGACCCATGTCACCCTACTCGTGATTTGCTTCTAGATCAGATTTCTCCTTTCCGGAGATTCCTTAAATTCAGCCTGTCCAAAAACTAAAATCATCCTTCTCCCTAAACTTACTCTCCCTCCTCTCTTCCTTATCTTGGTTAGCAATGCCACCCCTTAATGGCTTAAACCTTTCTTCCTTTCTTCCCTTCTTCCCTTCATCCCCGTATCTAGTCTGTCAGTGGGTGCTGGCTGTTCTCGTTCTTAAATGTTTCTCACACTGGCCCTGCGGCCACCCCGCTCCTCGGAGGCGCTCATTATCTCTGAACTGAAGAGCTGCACCAGCCGCCTCACTCACAGTCTCCAGCTCCAGCTCCCTGCGCAGTCTGTCCTTCACTTGGCTTCCAGAACTGTCTTCCTAAAATACACACGCAAGTGTGTGATTCTCTTGCTTCTCACTCTCTCCCCATTGCCCAGAGCAGCCCTCCCCACAGTAGGAAAGTGGGCTATTAATAGATGTCAGGCACAGAGCAGTTCACGGGCAAACAAGTTGGAGGCAGTCTGGGTTAGAGAAAGTTCACTCGGCTTCTTTACTTTAGTTTGCTCATGTACCTGTGGGCCTCCCAAGAGGAGAATATAGTAGGCAGTATTCTCCTAACTTATTTGGCCACCAAATTTGTTTTCTTTATTCTTGGAGCATAGTTGTGACATTGGTATTTCACAAAACACACTTCCCTAAACTCCCCAAACTCCTCTTAAAGGCATATGGATGCCTAATAATTGGACCCTGCCTCCCTTTCCGACCTCGTCTGCCATCTTCTCACATATCTTGTCTTACGTTCCAGCCTATGGCTCCCAGGACATGCTAGACTCTCACACACTGGCACGTTCTGTGCCCTTTGCCACGGGCCAGTTACCCCTCCTACTTCACCGGTCAAACTTCTCTTCCTCCCTTTACACTGGTGTAATGCCTTCATCCTTCCCATCCTGTCCCATCTTCCTAGGAGCCTTCTGCATGTGGGCTGCGCTGGTGAGCATGGGCTCTGGAGGTGGCAGACCCGGCTTTCATTATTACTGTGCACGTGGAATTCTGAAGTCTTTTGCTTGTACCGGTACAATATTATTGGTTTGCATGTCTGTCTTGCAATTAATAAAAATGAGAACAATATTAAATATTTTGATGTGGTAGGTACTACATGAAGCAAACCTAGCCTAGGGGTTATCAGATCCTCCTAATGGTATCTTAATGTTAAGTACTGACACCAGACTCATTCGTACCTCAAGAGACTGAGACTCAGAGTGCTGAAGAAACTTCCCATAGCCTCGCAGAGCCAGGTCTCACACCTCACCTAGCAGGCGCCACCTGAGGGCACAGATTCATGGGGACTCTGTTCCCATGAGTAGAAGCCCCCTCACGTAGGGGAGGAGACAATAAGAAGGCCTTTGTGAGATGTGAAAACATTTTAGTGGGATGGAAGACTGGAGAACCAAACACGAGAAATGGGAAATAAAAGAAGCTGAGTTGAAGCTAGTCAGTCAGAGGATAAAGGAGAGCCATGTGTTATTCCCCTGAGAGATTAGCCTGGCCTGTCTGTCCATCAGAAGGAGAGTGGGTGTGCATGTGGGATTCCGAACTCAGCTGCACATGGCTGGACAGGAAGCCCTGGGGCCGCTTTCACAACTGCATAGGACAGAACACTATGCAGAGACTCTGAAACTGGGAATACCAAGGTGGGAGGACCAGCCCCTTTGTTATTTTAAGGGTACATTGACCACATTGGTGGAGAAGCTCTCAAGTGACTGTTCCCTAACCTAAGCCTAGCCAATTTGATTAGCTCCTTCTTTTTTTCAGAGCCCTTTACAAACGATAAAAATAAAACTCTGCAGACATTATTAGTGTTCTATTTGAAGTCCCGACACTGGTATTTGTGTACTGATATGTATTTATGTACATATAGACATTAGTGCCATTAATGTGTTGGAATGTCTGGCACATTCCAAATAAAGTGTACTGTTTGGAAGAAGCCGTAGGAGCTTGAGGCGTGGTCTACAAGAACAAATTGTCAATTGTAATTTAGCTCTTCCCAAGATAACAGCCCTGTGTTTGCTGAGTTGGTGCCTGAGTGGTTGCAGGAGGTGCTTTGCTGCAGTCTCCTGGAGCACAGCCGCAGAGGCACGGGTGTGGCTCGGAAAGCCTCCTATGGGCTTGACTTCTGCTTATGCAGTTGCTGTGTCCTCTAAGCCCAAAGCAACCAGCAAATTCTAAGAGCTTTAACGATTGCCACAGAAATGGCCCAGCACCAGCCCGAGTTTCCAGACCCGGTAGGTATTTTCCCCATCAAAATCCATCCCAGCAAGGCCATGGCTTTGCACTTTGCAGTAACAACTGCCACTTTGCAGTACCACTGCCAACACTACAGGGTCCTGTCTCTTTACCTGTGGTGCGATCGTTGATACCAAGCACCAGAAGCCTGATTCCTCTAACAAAAAACAAAAATGCATTTAAGACTTACCGACTGCTATTCGTTGTAATCGGGGCGTAGCAAGAGCCATGACTCAGCATGTAAAAAGGCAAGATTTAAGATGAGTACTTGGCCATTGTCCTGATTTTATACTAGTCAGACTTAACTGAAAAATATAAGTGTCTCGGCTGAATTTATCTTATTAGGGGATTTAGGTTATGTTAATGCTATAGCTTCATTAATTACCCCATATCAATAAAAAAGGCAGCTTTTAGCCTCTGAGCATAAGAGAGGAAAAGAAATGGTGGTATCAAAGGAAACCTTCAAAGACAGCCAGAGCTGTCTCCAGGGTAATTTCTGATCCCTGCATTCTTCCCACTTCAAAGTTGGATATGTGTGTGTGTGTGTTTGGGTCGAGGGGGTTGGGGGAAGCTTGAATCTGATTTCTCTAATAAGTGTTGGCATCAGCCCCGTTTGATATTAGATGCAGGGAACATTTTGATTTGTTATAGCCTTTGAAATTGTTCAGACGACCTTCAGAAAAATGGCCTCTTGTTACTTCTGGGGGGAAGGGTGAAAGCCAGGGAAAGGGGAATCCAGCCTGATTCATATGCAGAGGAGGCCCTGAAGTTGTGCTTTCAGCAGTTTTTAGTAACAAATGCATGTTCTGATTGAAAGTGAAAAGTTGAAGAATAATAGACCCGTGACACTGTGTTCTCTCTTTGCTTCTTTGGGGAGGGTAGGCAGGCTTGAGAAGATGGCCACACGGAAGTAGCTCTGAAAACTTGCTACTCCGCAGTGTTCTACCCCACCTGGCATGTCTGTCACCTGTTGACCTTGCGCGATGAAGCTACTAAATACAAGGTTTAGAATTTGACACTCTTGTGTGGGTCCTGAGTTTTATTTGAAATTATGCATTTTAGATAATTTAATGTTGATTACACTGTTTTTTCCAAATGATATAAAGAATTGATAAGTTTCCACAACTTTCACTTGCTGCAGCTGTCACAGCAACCGGCCTTAAGCAGTGCCAGATGGCTGTGGGTGCAGAGAGTAAGAATTCTACCTGAAGTCCCCAGAAAGGCAAGGGAAGATTAGAGCCTGGCCTCTGGGCACAGACCTAGCTTCAAATTCTCCATAAGTTAACCATGTGACGGTGGACAAGTTATTTAACTTCTCTAAACCTCAGTGTCCTCATTTGTGAAGTGGAAATTATTTTATCCTCATGCTATTGCTGAGAGGATTTTAAAAGATAATTTAGGGTGGCGCCTATGGCTCAAAGGAGTAGGGCACCGGCCCCATATACCGGAGGTGATGGGTTCAAACCCAACCCCTGCCAAAAAAAAAAAAACTGAGGGGAAAAAAAAAAATAATGTAATGCAATTTAGGTGAGCACAGGCTCAATGTATCCTCATCAGTAAATAACATCTGCAGTCACTGGTTGTGACAGAGGGGATGACCGTGGTCAGCATCGCAGTCAGAATGGCCAGGCCTGCCGACGTTGACACAGAGGTAGTGATGGTCAGCATCGCAGTCAGAATGGCCAGGCCTGCCGACGTTGACACAGAGGTAGTGATGGGCAGCATCGCAGTCAGAATGGCCAGGCCTGCTGACGTTGATGCACTGATTGTTCTCAGTATGATTTGTTAAGATTTCCTTGCACAAGTCCTTCCTGTGCGTTGAGACCCTCTGATGTCTTGGTATTTTCTGTGAGAGCAGAGGTGTCTGTGCTAACGCAGTTGGTCATCTCAGGGTTTGTTTTCATTACACCTGAGAGTAGACCACATTTGCACCCCTAAAATGTTTATTTCAATCCCCAGAGTCCAGAAGCTGCTCCTAAGACTGCAGATTCAGCCACCAGTCACCACAAAGTTGACTTTTCCATTTTCAGATCTTTCTAATCCTTGCCCAGAATACTGGAAGGGTGCTTCACTTTTTTTTCTGACCCTGTAATTCAGAATAATTTGTTATTCATCAGGCTAAAGGTGTGCAGCTTCCAGGATGCTTTTTTTTTTTTTTTTAATATTGCAGCTGGCAAAAAAATTGGTAGCCATGCCTGCCTCTACAGTGAATAAGCTGCAGCTAATGAATATTCACTGAGATCAGTCCTGGCTCCCTGAAATGAATTTCTGAAATCTTCCTGGCCCTAAGAAGAGGCAGGGCATGGATTCCAGAATGCACATTTAAATGGCTTTCTTTGGCATAAATCTAGCAGAAAATCAAGTACAAACCACCTGCTGTGTGTTCCCAGCAAAAAGGAAACCCATTGTTATTGGATCCCTTTCTTACCCACCAGGTTAATAGACCATATTACCTAAGGTCCTTCTGTCCCAGATGGTAGAACTTTCCCTAGGGTCCTGAATAATATATTTAAACCTCCTTTCTAAAAAGCAGTATCCTTACTTTGAATAAGTGTGGTGGTTTTGAGAATCCACAGTTAGGCTGGAGAGTCCATCTTTTAATTAAACCTATGCATATTTCTCTCTCTCTTTTTCATGAAAACTTTTTTACAGCCCCTGGAGGGTTTTTAAAATAATTTTCTCTTTTAGGTAAAAACTATAACTTTTAGTCTACATAGATTCTTCTTTTCTGCTTTTCCGGACTCTGTGTTTATGTCTTGGTCTGCTTATGTTTGATGTGCGCAGGCAGGAAGAATAAACAGTGGAGAACTTCAGAGGAAACAGCTGTGGGCTTAAAATGGAAGAACTATAATAGTTTCAAGTTCAAATTGAGATTTAGAATCTTTGGCATCTCCCTGTCATCTTTGCAGTGATTTGGTTACAACTAAAAGATGCAAAAAGGTATTCATCCTACAATCCCTGAATTATCTTAAAATGATGCACTTGTTAAGCCCTGGTCTAAACCACTGCACTGAGAAAGTAATACAAACCTGATTCGGGCTCTTAGATAGACATAACCAGCTGCCCAACAGTAGTTTCCTGCAACAGAATTGATAGTGTAGGGAATTAATTTCATGTTTCTTTTGAGGTTTCCTTCAGAGTTATGTGGAGGTAACGTCACTTTCCCCCCTACGGACTTTTAACCTGTCAAATTAAAATTCTAATGCCTGAGGATTTTTTAAATTCTTACTCCCATCTAGTGGTTTAAATCAGGGGCTGAGGGGAGTGACTGACAGTTAACACCATCTTTCTGAAGGGCAGTTTAGCCAGAATGGAAACTGTTAGGGCTTTTGTGGAAATCCTGGAAAAAGATGGTGCAAGCAGTGGGTTTGAAGAAATGGGTGGATTTGAGGTGTATTTTTCAGGTTGAGTGAGTGAATGTTTGATCAGTGAAATCTCTCCCATTATCAACCCCAGAACTGGATTAACTAAACCTCCACCCTCCGGCAGGAGCCCTGCAGAGGTCCAGAGAGGCCTCCTCAGCATCATCTTAACCTTCTCTGCTATCCTGAAAGTTTCTGAAGACAATGAACTTTACATGAAACTAATTGTGAGCAGGAAGAAGCCAGAGAACTGAATGTGTGCCTCTTCACAGCCCAGCTTTGTTTGCAGAAAGCAAAGTTTTGGTGTTTTCCTCCAAATTGAAACAGAGCTCTGGAGTGTCCAGGTCAAATGTAGAGCCGTCTTCTTAAAGGAGTCTCCCTCTCCAATTGCTTCTCATTCTTTCTTTTTCTCCAAAATCAATAACACAACATATAGGCTTAAACAGCGAGGTCTCAGGTCTCTTATCTTGACCACTGGCCAATCCCAAAGGCAGGTTCCAAGAAACCCATTGGCAAAGTGTTTCAGTTTACTCAGCTCTTGAACTCATATATTAAAGTTGACTTTTTGTGCCTATGGGACACACTGTGGAATCCTCACTTAATCACTATGCTTGAGCTGTCTCCAGCCCTGGATAGGGGGTAATTCTGTTTTTGCCATACTCTATTTGTTCTAAACTCTTGGAACAAAAGGCATTGATTGTATTTATCATGCAAACCAGTATAACCAAAACAGTTTTGGTTAGAATCATGCAAACCAGTATAACCCAAACAGTTTTGGTTAGAATGAGCCACTGAACTACCCTGTGTGTGACCAAACGTGGCCAGAGGAAGACTGAACTGGATTTACTCTGAGCCCTACCCATGTTGCATCTTGGACTGCTAGTGTCCTCATTTGTTAAGTTGGGGTGCCTCTAGATCAGGGGTTCCTGACCACCCAGGCATCACAGTTAACCTGAGGAGCATTGCTAAAAAGCAAACAAAGAAGCAGAACTCTGGGGCTCACTCCAGACCCTCCAGGGGAGGGACCAAGGAATCTGTATATTCAAAATGAAAAGGAAAAAATTACCCCAGGGGCTTATGATGCCCAGCCAGGTTTGAATACCACCAGGTGAGACCATCTGGGAAAGATGCCTGGTCAGATAACCTGGGGCTGAGGAAGGACTCTGAACCCTTGTCTCATCATCTGGAATGTAGGTGGCTGATGGCGCCAGTCACACAGACTTGTCTGGTATTCCAGGACAAAGTACGTGTGGGGGGTGACTGTGGTGCCAGGGATGGGACAGGTACTCAGCAGCAAAGACATGCTGATGCCCATGATGTGCTAGGGCCCATGTCAGGCCCCGTCAGGTAATGAGGAGGAAGACAAGCCTCCTGCCCTGCACCAGCTTACATTCCCGTGGGAAGGTCAACAGTAAGCAGGTGAACAGAAGCAGTGAGCTTTAGGCAGTTTTTAAGTGTTATAAAAATTAAATTTTGAAAGCATTAAAGAGAATAGAAGTGACAAATACTGGGAAGAATATTTTAATAGGCAAGTGGAAACTACTTCTCTGATAAGGTGACATTTGAGCTGAAGGAAATATAACAAGAGCCATGTTAAGCCTGTGAGGAAAACAGTCCAGAAAAAGAGCACAGCCAGTGCAAAGGTCCTGAGGTAAAACTGACATTGGTACATCACGTGATGCAGGAGAGCCATGGCAGGAGTCAAGGTTAGAAAAGTGAGCAAGGCTCAGCTCACATGTGAGCCTTGGAAGAGTCAAGGGCCTCAAGTTGACTTTGCTGTATCCCTCCATTCAGTTTCCTTCAATTACCTACAGACTGATAAAGAAGAACTTGAAGAAGGACATTCAAGATCCTATTATTCCATAATCAGAATTTTTTCAAATTTAATAAAGGTAACAGCAGTTAGTCTCATTCCTAGTATCGATGATATGATATCCTGAATCCTGATACTGATGCTGATGATTTTTATCTCTTGTCTCCCCAGCTTGACATATGGTCTAAATCCAGCTATCAAGTATTCCAGAAGGTAAGTTTTGCTTTTTGCTTCTTACTCAAGAGGTATTAGGAAAATGTGATCAGAGACCTTTTTTAACACGTTAACTGTGGTGTGAATTGGAATAGGTGTAAACAAGGGCACCCAGAGACCAGTGACATAGGAGATGTTCAGGCGAGGTTTATTGAGAAGGGAGGGAATCTGGAGAGGGGCAGTTAGAGACCCTTTTATATGGGACTTTAGGAGGTGAGCAAATTCCACAGCTTGCCTAGAAAGTTAAGGTCCTTTGGCATGAACTTCTAGGGGGTGGGGCTAACCAGCTCCTTTGCCTCTGTGTCTTAGGAGGAGAAGAGGGGGAGGGATTGGTGTGTGGCTGCGTTAGACCTCCCAACAAGTTGTATTGAAGTCACCCTAGTTTTAAGCCTCATGAAGCTGTGAAACCTCTGCTTCTTGTTTTCACATCTCCTATGCCACTGGTCTCTGTTCCCCATCTCCAGCCAGTCAGCCTAAGAGTGCCACGGAGTGCACATGTCACTTTGAATGTTTGTCTGGCAGCTCTTTGAAGGAAATACAGGTGATAGTAGGTAGTAACAAGTCATCCTTGTAAGTACTTGGGGTATGACCACCCAAGGTCCATTCCAGACACAACAAATACTTGTGGAATGACAAATGACTCAATTCTTAGGAACAAATTCAGTAAGTATGTCGTGAGTTACATACAACTCCCATGGCATGCGGTGTAAAAATTGATTCTAGTGTAGGGTGACCAGACGTCCCGATTTTGGCGAGACAGTCCCACTTTTCAACAATTTGTCCCGCATCCCGTGGTGTTTTTTAAAAGTCCCAATTTTTGGAAAGAATGCACAAACAGGCTGGAGAACAAGAAGGGAATATACAGTTTTCAGCCGCCATATGGCTATTTCACCAGAATATGAGTTTTATATTATTTTTGTTAATTTTATAATGTTAAACTGTAATAAATAATTGCTGAGAAGTGATTATTGAGAACTGCTTATCAAAGTTTGCATTGTTGTCAGGCCCTGCCTGCCCCGTCCCCCGCCCCCCGACCATGTTGTCCCGCCTTACAGATGTTAAAATCTGGTCACCCTATTCTAGTGCTGCATGAGTTGCATACAACTGTTGCACAGAAAACAAAAAATAACAAATTTTTAATTAAATAAAAAGGATCATTTTGTTTTCACAGTTGTATTCTGTTTTCATAATAAAACACCATGGCCCCAAGGAAAGCATTTTCTTTGCTAGTGTGGCAGTCAATGTGTTAAAGTGAAAAAAGCCAGCCATAAAAGGCTGTTCACTGTCTGATTTCATTTATATGACATTCTGAGGAAAGAACAAAACCTTAGGGACAGAAATCAAACTGGTGGTTGCCTACAGGTGGGAGCACGAGACAGCTTGTTTGGGGTGATGGAAACATTGTGTATCTTAATTGTAGTCATTAAATAACTGTACATATTTGTCAAAACTATATTACTACAGGCTCGGCGCCTATAGCTCAACCGGCTAAGGCGCTAGCCACGTACACCTAAGGTGGCGGGTTCGAATCCCCAGCCCGGATCCGCCAAACAACAATGACGGCTGCAACCAAAAAATAGCCGGGCGTTG